TAAATGCCCGTATGTTTACAGAAAAAATAAGTGACCTATCAACTAGTCCACATCACCTCACACACCACCATCTATCTCCCTCCTATAACTCTTCGATTGCTTCGCAATCTTCGAGTTAAAAAGGAGTCAACAAACTACTCCCAGATGCAGTTAAAATTGGTGGAGTTAAATCTACTCCAGAAAATGGTTTCTCTGGTACCTTTTTAACTCCTCCTAGAGTTATATCAACTCCATGAAAATAGCAGGGCAAGGTTGACATTTTCTGTGATATGATTGAAAAAGATACACTCAGATGATCACGGAGAATTGTTTACTTTTCAGAACCCGTGCTCATCCAACCCTTGTGCTAGTGGAAAACAATGCACACCAAATTTCTACGAGAACAGTTTTAGCTGCTCAGGTAATTMCTGSTCGTTGTATTAGAAAATTATATTTTGAAMACTCCAAMAAAGMGAATAAGCAGTTAAATTATTTAAAACTGAAAAGSCAGKTGTAGGTAGCAATAACCTTTCAAACTCCTAATCAAATGCACGTTCCCCCACCTGCTGCGATCCCCATTCAATGTGACATATAACGGCGGACATAATGTGCTATCGCCTGTGTTAAAGATGGAGTATGCATGGTTTCTATAAGATCGTATATCTTTACACATTAAATGCACTGCTTGATCCCTTCTTCCCAATACAATGCTAGTAGTCCTCAATGTAACAGATGCAGGTCATCACCTATGAGAGGCAACACTTAATCGAGGGGTGGAGAGGGGCAGGGGAAATCAAAAACATGGGAGATGAGGTTACACTAAATATTCAATTTTGGTGATCCCGATTTTAGCTGCAACTTTTCATAAAGATCACTTAGCATGMGGTTAATCTACTGCAACTTAGAGATTACCCTTCCCTTGACGCGGCACTGATATATACAAAGAAATTACTTGATTAGGTTCGYCGTTATGAGAACCGCGATCCGAAATTTAAACGGTGATCTTATATATGTTACATGACA